GCATAGGGAATTCATATTTTTTATTATTTATTTCCTAGCTATGTCGGTGTTTCTGTCTGTGAATAGCTGTGAATCGGGGTATAGCGCACCAAATGGACATTTATGTGACATTCTTTTTTATGCGTTTCTTGCTATCAAAATATATAAGTTGTACTTATGAAAAAAATTGCAACAATTATAAAATAACTGGCTTTTGAAATTTCCAAATATGCATCAGTCCAGTATTGCAGTTCTAATAATCTAAGGCTATTAGTTAATTATTGAAAGCCATTTAAATAATAGGTTTATTTTACAAAATTGTCATAAATAAAGTATAATTTCTCATTTGTATAGACCACAATTCATATTTGAAATATATTGGTCATATTTTTGGTTAAAAAAACAAAAAAACAAAGTTAAATATTTTGGAATATGCAGTGTCAGTGCTAACAAAAAGCATAATAAATGCATCATTGGGCACCTGAATTATTCAATTAGATTTATTTATGTATCTATTTTTCTGGAAGGCAATCCGTCCTGCATAAATAACAAAAGAGTATATTTTTTCTCATTTGAATTTTAAAACGGAAAAAAGGATATTTTATTCAAACGTGTAAGCCTGCATCTGCCTAATCTGAATACTGCCAATGTACGAATACATATGCATTTACTGTATAGGTAATCACAATTGTTGTTCGAAATGTTGGCAATTTTAATTTATCTCGATTTGAAAGCGTTTTTAAGCTCGGTCCTATGAATTTATGCCCAAAGGCGTCATGTGCTGTGCGGTGCGGTGCGCTCAACAAATCAGCATAATCAATAATAAATTTGCATAAACATTAAACAGCATTTACTTTTCATCACATCTCGATTATGTTTCATTTATGGCCTTTACATTGCATTCGTTTAGCCGGCTATCGAGTTGTTGGAGCCCATCAAGGTTGAATGAGCACATAGTACTTGTATGTGATTGAATATGCAATGTTAAAACAAACAATAAACACCCTAAATACCAATCAGTTTAAATTGTTAAAAATTGCCAAATTAAACGCTAATTACGAGTACAAATTAAATTCGGCGACAGGCTGTCACACGATTGAGCCTCGAAAACTGTTACCACTGACTGTAAAAAATTGAAATCAAATACATTTGTAAATTAATAGTTTTATTAACTCTGAATGGAAATATTTTATCTAACAGAAGATAGCAAAATAAGTCAATAAAACCCAGAACTCCAAACACTTCCCTACATTTAATCTTTTTTTTCCAAGTTTCTTTGATAAGACTTTCAGTTTCCAGCTGAAGATGTTGTTATATGAATAAAATAAATTAAAACAACAAACTTTTAATAAAAGTTTAACATACACTTTTTTTAAACAAATATGCATCTTCTCTTCCATTTAATAGATTTATTTTAGAAGAAAACGATTGTTTATTATACTTTATATTATTTGTATATTATGTATCATATAATTAAGATTGCTTTCAACATAGCAGCTTTCATGAATAATCAACAAATTTTGTTTACTTGAAGAACTAGAAATTGTTGTACTAATTGATTGGTTGATATTTTTCGAATGACGTAATACACTTAAGACTCCTATTGTGAATTAATGAATAGATTTTATTTCAATTCAATAGTTCAACTATTCTTATTAAATGGAAAATGTTTATTCACCTGAAGAAACATTTTAAAGTCGCATTTTACACCTCATTTCTCCCCATTTAATAAGCCTTTCGATACAATTTGCCAAAGCTGATGTAATAGTAGCTATAGCGAATAGTTGATTAGGTCATAGATTTTTTTCACAAACTGGCACTCTAAATACAAGTAAGTATGAATAGTTTGCAAGTGTAAATATAATGGAATTGAATATTTACTTCCCGAATGAGGGCAAAAATAGCTGAAATAATTCTCTCGCTTTCTCATCCCTAATATAGTTATTTTACTTTATAGTGTAAAGAGCGATGCCACTTTCGCTGTCTTTGCAACAAGGTGAAAAATGTGTGGCGCAGCGGTTGGTCCTTGTTGTCATCGTTCTCGTCGCCCTCATCGTCCTGGCTGCTGTCCTAGTCTACGTTGTCGTTGTCGTCGTCGTCGTTGTCGTTGCAAACGCTTGCTTAATGTCTTCTTTATTATATGAAATTTATCACCGAAACTGAAATTGGCCTGGCTGGGCGCAATGGCTCTCCAGTTGGCTGGCGAATTGGCTGAGTCGCTGCCGGCGGGCCGGGCCGGGCCGGGCCGAGCTGAGTCGGGCCCGGCGCTGGCAAAGCTTGCACTTTTTTTCCAGCAGCAATGTCGCAGCATAAAGCAACCTATACAGACATACAAACACACATCAGACATTGTAGTAAAAACATGGCTTATCCTTCATGGCCACACACACTCACAACCAGTGCATACACGTACATACATACATACATGCCCTTATATAGAATAGAGCTGCATACTTACTCCCACAAGATTAGCAGCAGACACACACACACACACACTCAAACATATAGAATTAATGTTTGGGTTTTGTGCTAATGAACGGCATGTGTGTGTTTGTCTGTGTGTGCGAACGCTGTTTTTGAATTATAGCATAATTTTTACCACGCTGCTTCTCAGTTTTTTCCGTCCTCTCTGTTGGCTTGTAAAATGCTCAAGAAAATTTATTCGCTCTCTGCTTGGATTGTTTGCCATTGTCTTTGTGTTAGTAAAAAGAAGGTCAGCGCTGTGCGGAACAAATTTATTCAAATATTATTTTAGATACTTTACTTTAATAACGGTATCAAAATATATATTTTAAACCCTCAACTACTTAAGCTTCCTATCCTAATTATAATTCAGTTACAGAACAGATGATAAAACGGACATATTCTAAGCCTTCTAACCAAGATGAGACCAAAAGTTGCACTACCAATTTAGACATTTAAAGGGGGAAAAAGAAGAAGTTATAATTAATTAATATGCTATGTATATTGCTTAAATGTGGTGTGTTGCATGCAATTATTCTGAACTTATGCAACTATGAATGCTGCCCTCAATATCTTATAAAAAATTAATTAGTTAATTAATCAGCTCCTTTTTGTAATTTTTCGAAAGTGCCATACCATTATAAACATTAATTACTTTCTACACATAGCGCCCAATTTTCTGTACAAATTCTAGCATTATTCAGCTATTTCCGAATTCTTTGAAATTTCCACCTCACCTGTGAGAGACCACCGCTACAAAACATTTATTTTCGGAACGATTCTAAAGCAATTACCTATTGAAAGGCAATGGCATACATATGAAACATTTAAGAGCATACTTTTAGGGATCACATTTTAGTGCCAAGCCGAAATCAATTCACTTTTTATGCAAATTTTAAAGCACATCTAAAAATTAATTCCGAAATCTCTATTTCTGCTTACAATATTATAGCATTATATGAACGCTCAGAGAATTCTTGGCATATTTTAGAATACATCTCTCAGTAAGACCGCTGCTACAAAAAAAATAATTTCGGAACGATTCTATAGCAATTATCTATTAAGCGAATTTTTTGAAAAGTCAGAGAAGTATTTTAGTAATAAGTCCAAGTATTAAACTTATTCTAAATATAGCATAACAGCACAGATGTTGAAGGATGGAATTGGTAGCAATCTTTCCTTGTAACTTAGCCCGCATATATGTTTGTTCGTATGTATATAGACAGACCAGTGATATCATTTTCCTTAAATAAAATAACAACAAATTTTACAAAAACAATGTGTTGTAAGAACGAAATAAATCTAAAATGTTGTGGTTAAGTAAAAAACTGCTTCACCACTTGACGTTGTTGTTTTTACTGCCATGCCCATTGCCCAGAGTCAGCACCATTGCTGACCCCCAACATCTCTGGTCACATCGGAGCGCTTGAGCGCAGTCAGGGCAAGAAATGCTCAACTGTAATTGAAAAGGCTTTAAATGAAGGCTAAAATTGTACAAAATGCGGGTTAACGCAAACGACAAACGGCTTTGGCGGCGGTTAGGGACTTGCAGTTGACGTTGGTCTTGGACTGCATGGCGACTTTTATGCAAAAGAAGCAACAGCAGCAGCGTTCGCAAAAGCCAGTCGGCGTCGACGTGGACGTTGGCGACAACACAAAGTTTTTCATGCTGTTTTCGCTGTTGGGTAGCTGGCTGACTGGCTGGCTGGCTGGAAAATCAACGTGAGAGTTTGGTCACATAGAAAAATGTTGCAAAAGGATTACAACAAAAATTAAATGGTAACCCACTCCTCCCACAACAAAAAAAACCCATGCAGAAAAACTGCTACACACAAAGCAAAATTGTCGCAGAGAAAAAGAACAAAAAGAGAACGAAACTCTGACTTCAAGTGGCATTTTGACATTTTGTTGAATTTCAACTTTGCTGCCGTTGGCTCTAGGGTCAGGATGCAGGTGGCCAAGCCAAATGAGTTGCAGTTTAAAATTAGAGAGAAAAAATAATGCATACCAAAACTGATACCTTGGTTAGAACCAAAAGCCACTAGTACTGTCTCCGTAGCAAGCCGATTCATCCAAAAAATTAATTAAAACTTTATAAAAAATTTCCGTTCACATGAATTTGCAACAACAAAGATGAAAATTATATCTATAGTCAATTTAAAATAATTTTCAAATAAACTTGATTTAAAAGCAAGGCTAAAGCTATTTAAGTTCAAAATGTAACAGTTATAGTTGCACACTGACAAAAGCTCACTGCTGTGCGTATCGGAGCTTTCTTAATCGGTCTGCCAACTCGCTTGAAATTGATCTTCATTGGGGCAGTGTGCTTGAGCATAACAATTGGGCTGCTAAAAAAGTATGTTTATATCAATGATAATGAAAATTTATTAGAATAATAAATATCCCAGGTAATGCATACAAACTACTACTAATTTTTACAAATAATTTACTACTAATTTCCTATTGCGTTGATTTTTCATAATTAAGGAACTAATCGTAAGCGCGTATCATCTCTACTTGACCAGTCTTTTGAAATTTAACATCTCTAGCTGCCTTCATCATATGTAGACACAACTGTCAAACATTAACCGTTATCAAATAAATTCTGCTACATATGCAAATATTTGTGGCTTCCGATTTTATAGTGCCATCGTTGACATGGAGCTGCGCAGTAAAAATTACAATATGTTAGCACAGCAGCTAAAAAGTAAGTTTTAAGTGATGGTCCGATAAATATACATATAAAACGCAGTATTACGCACACACACACATTCACAGACGCCGGCGTATACGAAGAAGGAATGGAAGTCGAAGAAATGCGCCAGATTGCAGAGGCTATTGAATTGTCTACCTCACATGCCAAAGACGATGATCTGGAGCGCGCTATAATGGTGAGTGCATAATAAGTACAATAACGACAGTAATATGCAAATGATGTCATAATGTGTGCACAGGAAAGCGAACTGGAATTTTTAACGCAGCCAGGATACAATGCAATGCTGAATTCCACCATGATCGCGCCGTCTTCGGTACAGATGTCCAGTGGCAACTGTAATGATGCTGGTAGCAGTTTTCTTAACTTGCAACAACAGCATCGCGAAGGCGACAGTCCACCATCTTCGCCCGTGCATATCACTGTGGCAGCGTGGGTGCATCATTCTATTGACTGGACCCCCAACCCAGAACGACGAACAGCGCGTAAACGTGTGGCAGATGGGGGCACGGAGGAACATGAGGCGAAGCGTACGCTGCAGAATAATGCAAATTCTTTGGCTGTGCCAGAGCAAAGGGCTGCAGATGGCGACGCCACTCCAATTTCGATGCGCGAATCAAGCAGTGACTCTGGCATTAGCTGGGAACAAATGAGCTCGTTGTCGCTGGCGCACGAGAGCAGCACAATTCCATCGATTGGTGAAATGCCCAGCCGTCTGTTGATCAGCACCAGCAGCGCAGCCGTATCCGATTTTTCACGCAGCGATCACGGCAGTCATGATGGCGAACAGCAAGAGCTTCGCAGTGCAAACGATTTTGATGGCGTGTACTAAATGTAAACAAAATAGTGTGCCATGTGTGGGAAATTTGCAGATCCTCAAAATACATAATACAAAACCCACTAATATTAAAAAGTTAAAAGCTTTTACATTTGTAGCATAATCAAATTTTTTAACCAATTTTATACAAAGAGCAATTTTAATGGATTTTACAATATTAGAATATGTTTAAAGAAACTGCAATCATCTCTGACTGAACTACAACGAATAGGCTTCTTTCCGAGCACAACCTGCAAAATATCTGTGAATTTAATAGTAATAAATAAATGTATGTATTTCTCCATGTATTTTATTAATAAATGTCGAAAGCTCTGCCTTTATTTAATGTATGGCTGTTTACAAATTGCTTTTACAATCGGCGCTGCAGATTAGTCTTTAACATGGCCTCATTAACCAGAACATCAATGCGATCGCGCATATGCAGAAAAGGTAACAAGCATACACGTTGCTTCACCAATGTGGCAGCCACATTACTGAAATATTGACTAACCTCCAGAGGCTTGGCCAATGTGTGCGCGGAAACTTTTGAGATTGGGGTAATCTTTTGAACGCCACTGCGCCTGGCACGCTTGGCCACACGTCCACCTATTGTTGTAGGCGATGATGGAGACTGCTTATCAACAGGATTAAAGGCTGGTATAGCCACTGGCTGATTACGAGCAGGCACACGCATGGTCTTGCGACGCGTCTGCGCTTTAGGAGCGATTTCCACCGGCGGATTTCCCGGAATCAGAACGCCATCAGCGACCAAATTTTCGGACTCCCGCTGCTGCTCCTGATTAGGAGCAACGACGCTTTCAGCAGATATGTCTGTAATCTGCTCAGTAGGAGCCTTAACATCAACTGAGTTCACCGGCTTGATATCTTCCTGCATTTGGTTTTCAGTTTTTGGAAAAGCTTCGTCTACCAGTGGCACAGCAGGTTGTTGTCCTTGCACGGCGATATCGCATGACACACCCATCACTGGCAATCCATCTGGTGCGACCGGCGAAATCAACTGCTTCCCCATCACGATTTCAGTTCCAGAAAGATGCCTATTTGAAAAATAAACAGCATATATTAAGACCTATGTATGTATGTAAATATAATGTGATCGACTGTTTGCGCTGCGGCGATTACTTACGGATTACCAGTAATGTGATTAACGTCCATGGACCAATCGTCATCCGTAGTAGATTCCTCGTCGTCACTGTAGTAAATGATCAAGGATTCATTTTGCGTACGCACTTAATACATATGCATGTGTGTGTTTGTGTATATATGTATGTATGTATGATTGTGTGTGTATGTTTGTCACCTGGTTTCATCAGAATTATAGGATACTTCGTCGTCGTCATCTTCATCACTTTCGGAGACTTTGCGGGAACGTGGAGCCCGCCAGGCTTTGCGGTCGTGCCTGAACATAATTAATATAAACATTTTAATATTATTTAATAATGCTTTCAATATGTAAATGTACTCACGCCATGGCTACATTTTCTTCTTCAATATCCCCATCGTCGTCTCCTACAATATGCAGTATTTTCGATTGTAAAGGCCTGCAATCAAACAAATTTTAATGGATATAAAAATTTGTTTCCTTTTTCTATAATTTACACACATTTCTAAAACGCGTCGAACACGAACAATGATGGGGAAAACACAACTTTGTATGAAACAATCGGCATGCACAAAGCAGACGCACGATGAAAAATGTCAAATGGGAATTTAGTTTCAGTGCTGGACAACGCCAAATTATGCGATCGCAGTGATTTTGTCGAACGGCCGTTAAGGAACAAGCTCTCTATCACATGTAATGTGAATTTCACATTACAAATTTATTGATTGTGCAATACCAAACACCTGATAGCGGTACGTTATGTACACTTAAATAGTAACAAAGATTTTGTTGATCTTATATTATCTTGCATTCTGTTTTGGATATCGAGCCGTCTTCATATGCTGTGACGTCTCACTTAGAATACAGAAGGAAACAACTGAAAAACTTTCCAGTTTATTTAAATGCGTAACCGTTATACATTTTTATTGTATTGCTTTCGTATGGGCATCTATTGAATTCTAAAATTGTTGAATGAATTTGACTTTTGAGAATTGTTAAAAAACGAGCTCTATTCTATTTTCACAAAAGGTAAAGAAGTGGATTAAAGTTAATTCGGATAATTCGTAGAACGCTTTTTAGGATGGTCAGAAAAAGTTACCCAAAATTGCCGAAAGCCTAATGCTGGAAAGGTTGTAATGTACATATGTATATACCTCATATTTAAGACATTCCTCACGATCTTAATATTTTCTTAATTTTCACTCTAAGCCTTCATACCGAACTCTAAAAACCAAACTGTCCGCACTACATAATTTCTTCTATAAAAACCACTTTATATATTTTTCATTTAGTATGCATTCGGGACTCACAATATTCTTAAAATACCAGTTGAATTCTATATCTTTTCTATCCATGTCGTTTCCGTGTAAGGTAATCCGTTGACATGATAGGTTTTAAAAATTATAATCATTATATTATTTTAATTATAATTATAAATAAATAAATATAATTATAAACAATAATTCCGAATTTACGGCAATTTTTTTCTGAGGCTGGCTAGAGTATTATGGCTTCTTAGTTGTCTGTTTGGATCAACAATGAATTTATAGGATAGTTAGTTAGAATAATCCTAAGAACAAGGTAGTTGAGAACTCCTTCGTTTGCCCCTAAATTAATCAAATTTAGGCCTGCATTGAATTTAATTTATTGAAACAGGCATCAATAAATAGCGATTTCCATGGAAAATGTGTTGAATAAACACAACATTTAAAATGAAGAAATAAAAAATATATAAACTATATCCGTCAGTCATCCTTCGTAGTAACCAGCATTGCACCTATCCTCAGTTGGTTCCTCGCAATTGCAATAATTTACATCGGGTGCCATATCGGAGGCCAAGTCGTCCTCGCCAATAGTAATGCAACGCACGTTGCACGGATATTTCTGAAGAATCAAATGTCTTTTATTCAGGCATACATCAATAAGATGGAAAACATACCACCACGACCAGAGGACGTCCCTCTTCATCTGTGAGGCCCACATTGTCGCAACCATCGCCGACATTTTGCCGATGTAGTATATATTTGGTCATGCAGCAGAGCAGTATCTGAAACGATGTTTCAAAAGTTACTTATGAACTATTTGAGATGAAACAGTACTTGCCAAAACTTTAAGAGATAACATAGCCAATACCAAGAGAATATAAATATAACGCCACAATGTGTCCGAGTAGACCGGTAGACAACCGTTAGTATTAATGTATTCAACGGAGAGAGTCGGGAACGGCTGCCTGCTATTGGTATGTGAGATTTCTTCGGATCCGGGCATGTAATTGGCAAAGCATCGATCAGAGTCCCGCTTGCAACATGCATAGGGGGCCAGAACGGAACCGGCAATGTCTGTGCAGTTATCGTCCGGCCGCGGCATCCAGTCCGCATTCATCCAATCCTTATAGGTGCGCACCCCGCAGCACTGCCTTCGCATCTGGAGACCATCCCAAAGCAGCTTCCACTCTGGACACGAGTAATACATGTCAATGCCCCGAATGAGCGAGTTTTCCGCAGCACTCTCCAAAACATCGACACTGCGGTAAAAATTCCATACAGCTGCAACGCCCGAAGCTATAATGACACACAAATAGAAGAGCCAGACGGTCAGCAGGAGGCGAACGTTTGGAGTGCAACGCCGACACCACAACCGATTCCACATGGAATTGCTGCACAGGAACGTCACAATAAGTTGGATTCCAAAGATATAGATGTTGAACAGGAATCCGTAGAGCATACGACTCTCGGTCTCCGCCAGGTAGCCGGTCAACAGTGACTGATAGATAGCTGTTACTATGACGATTACCAAACCAATCACAGCCTCGAGTATTAACAAAAGCGTAATGTAGACGGAGGCTTTGCGAAAAGGTTCGCGCATTTGGTCATCTTCGTATGCTTGAGGTTGGGATTTTTGATTTCACTCGATTTCTGCTACAGGCTAGCGCTCTGAACTCGAATTTCATTTGGAATGTCATTCTAGACAAAGAAAACTCTGTTGGCTAAATTGTATTTCAAAGGCAGAGTAACTTTCCCATAACTTTTGATTGGTAGGCTGGACAGCTAAACAACAAAAGTAATACACCTTGTTGATGTTCCTCTGTGTCCAATATCATTGAAGTTCACTGTACGGTCGATGTTAGTCACATTTGACTGTATCAAGGGCCACACATGCGCACACGAAATCCAACGCCATGTACAGGCAGCTGTTCTTAGTTATTTTAATTTAGTGATGTAGTTGCACATTCGCATAGATCAACCTAGCCAGCATCACACTCCCTCCCCTTTTAATAAAAGCATTAAAGAACTGTCTTGTCATCATGATCACACTTTCACTTTCAGCTTCTCCGAGTTCAGCTGGTTCAAGTACCGGTACCGGTTTAGTGCATAAACTAATGGCTATTAAACACGCCTTATATTAATTTAATCGACTCAGCCGACTGGGATCTGACGTATCCGTGCTCTCTTCCAGTAATGCAAATTTTGTGTTTTTTCTGGTCAAATATGATTGTTTTTGTAAAATATGACTGCGGAAAAAACTCAAAACTTGCGACTTCAACGACTTCTTCATGTAAACAAGTTATGCGTAAGGCCACAATCACAGGGACTGTTTTCAGACTTGGCGTTGATAAACCGACTAGGGCATGAAATAAGTCCCTTAGCAATGGACATTAAACATAAAACAGCAGTAGATGCTTAGAAAAAAAATGTCCATACTTTTGTTTGTTTGACGCGAAAGAGGTGTAGTACGAAAATAACAGCAAAAAGCTTAAAGATTCGCAGGAAGATTTCAAGAAACTTAAGCAGCAAGTCTACAATTGAGAATGAGTCCTAAACAAGGCAATTTTCTTGAAAACTGCTAAAGAAGATCAAATATATATATTGCTACTTCGTAGCAAAGCAAAATCTCAAATAGTAATAAAAGTCAATGGAGAATGGTAGAAAAAATGAGGAATTGCGAAAAGTCGCCGCGTAAAAGCGGTTTCATTTAAAAAATCAAAAGCACTCTCCAAGTACTAGTTACAAACGTTTATAAAGGGAAGAAACGTAGATAGATCCACTAAATCAGAAGGTTGATAGAATTCATACTCGAAACAAGGTAGGCAATTTAGTAACGTTAATATCTTAATACAAAAAACTTATAAATACTGATACATTCAAAAAAATTATTTCAAACTTTTCAGTACAAAAAACTCATTTCAAACATTTTTTACACAATTTTTCTCAAGATTACCATGAATGACAGCGACAGTGAACCTTCTGTGCCGGGCGTATTAGAAGATCCTGGCAATGACAAAATTCCACAGACCACACCATTGAAGAGGGTTAAGTTTGATGAATTGAATTTGTTGGAAACTTTCCATCCAGCGAACAAGGATTACGGTCATATGGTTATTGATGAGCCTAAGACGCCTTTTGTGTTCGAGGACGAAACGTCGCCTGAGTTGGACACGGATTTGCTAATAGAAAAGCTGCGCCAAGTCGCACAATCGGAAACTCGCAGGTTTGGGAAGAAAAAAGACTCTGATGACTCGTCTGATGCTAATTTCTAGTTGAGACGACACCTAGAATATAGCAAAATGCACTGCAAATCATTTTTGTAAAGCCATTTAGCTAGCCCTATTAACGGGTTGCAATTATTTTTTACTGTAGGCTACAGTGTGCTTTGTCAAAACCCCTTTATAGTCTCAGTACCGCCTGAATGCTGTTGCCACTGAGAGTACATGGAGGTTGTCAGTACACTCTGAGGTCTGTCGGTATTATTTTTGGTTCCACCAGTGCTTCATGTCTAACCACACTTAGCTAAACTTCATAGAAATCATTAAATGTTTCAAAAATTATAGACAATATTATTATTATGAGAATATATGAAAGTTTGATAAACAATGAAACCTTAAAGCACCATTCTTAGTGGTTTAAAACGTTGCTAAGGAAACCTAATTACAATTTTGCATTTTATTAATGACAAGCCTGGATTGTGCGGCATTCAACGATTTATTTTAGGTGTTTAAGTATGTATATCCAACGAACATAGAACACTAATACAGATATGTGATAATTGAAAACTAATTGAAATTGCATTTGTTTGAGAAATAAATTACCTCCTCCAAAGACCACAACTACGTATTTGTTCGGTTGTTAAAAATTAACGAAGAGAGAAGTATGATTTATCATTATAATTAATTATTTTATTTGAAACACAAAAATATCTTAAAAGCAATTCGAAAAAATAAATCGTTCATTTAGTACAATCCCCATGTCTTACAGAGATATTCTGCTTTTCCCATGTCCTTCGTTACTTTTAAATAGTTTCTATATCAATATTTATATATGATTTAAATTAGCAATATCGAAAAGGCTTAATCCCAAATTTGCCAGAAATATTTAGTTCCCAATACTATTAACACTGAAAACTTTATTTAACACTCTAAGAAAAGTTCAGACATAGCCAAGAACTACGATTCAATTTAGTCTTAATGGTAAATAAAATCTTTAAAGATACAAGCCATATTAATACGGGGTTTCTTCAAAAGATTGCGGGTGATATTGCAAACTGATTAACTCAAATAGGTATATTTAAATAAAGTAATATGAATATTTTTGTAAATACTTTTATGCCGGCCCCGAAAACAAACTAATTTTTCAAATTAAAGAAAGCGCTTAGCTTATCAAAAATTGTTTTAAAATACCAACACCACTATTAATACACATCGATAATATACAGCTTTCTAAAGCACACATCGCCGGATTTGGCTTATCGATAGGCCGGCTTGAAAAAAAAGATAAGCTGAGAACGAAATTGGCAGCGCAATCGTAAATCAGAACGAAAAAAAACGCATATAAACGCCTCCAATGAGTAATCTGTTCATCACATAATCCGAAAATGTTCGCAAAGGTCATTTCGATATTTGTATTATTTGCGCTGTCTGGATTTTCAGCGCTGTTGTCCTGGAATAAAGGGACTGGTGCGGAGGCCCACGATCTCAATGGATTGGAGCGTCATTTCCAATATGAGATTAAACAGTTAAGTGTGCCGGTGGATCACTTTAGCTTTTCGAACAACTCAACGTTCAACCTTCGTTATCTTTACAACGACACCTTTGCCGAGAAGAGTAATCCACAACCGCCGATCTTCTTCTACACTGGCAACGAAGGCGACATCGAATGGTTTGCCCAGAACAGCGGTATGGTCTGGGAGCAGGCCGCTAGATTTAAGGCTGTTGTTGTGTTTGCCGAGCACCGCTATTACGGAAAATCAATGCCGTTTGGCAGCAACACGTTCAACTGTACTAAGCCGGAGCATTTAGCTTACTTCACCGTGGAACAGACATTGGAAGATTTTGCCATGCTGATAACGTTCCTGCGTGGAGATCGCCAAATGCCAGTTGTGGCTTTTGGTGGATCATATGGTGGTATGCTAGCGGCCTGGTTCCGCATGAAATATCCACATATGGTGATCGGAGCACTAGCCGCCTCTGCACCTATTTGGCAGTTTACTGATTTGACGCCCTGCGATATCTTCAACAAGATAACCACATCGGTTTTCCAGACGGCCTACAATGCGAACTGCACTACAAATATTGGCCGCTCGTGGAAGCTGTTTGAGAAGTTGGCCGGCAGTGATGCGGGCAAGAAGCAAATTGCTGATGCCTTTCATCTGTGCGATCCTATCAAAAGTAGCGATGATTTGACAAAGTTCCTAGACTACCTGGAGGAGGTGTACTATAACTTGGCCATGGCTAATTATCCTTACAATTCATCATTCCTGGCGCCGATGCCCGCCTATCCAGTTCGTCAAGTGTGCTTCTATTTGAAGGATCTCCATGAGAATGATGCCGATTTGCTTAATGCTATAAGCAGTGCTCTAGCCGTCTACACCAACTACACGGCCAGCGTTAAGTGTCTTGACTACAAGGACGTTAATAAGGGTTCCAGCGCCGACAGCTTTGGCTGGAATATACAAGTCTGCAATCAGATGGTTATGCCTTTTTGTGCCAACAGCAGCGATACCATGTTTCGCACCAAGCCATGGAACTTCAAAGAGACTGTAGATAATTGCATTAAGAACTACGGACTCACGCCCAGACCGTATGACATTATAATGCGATATGGAGGAAAGAATCTGAACGCAGCCAGCAACATAATATTTAGCAATGGCCTGCTTGATCCATGGAGTGGCGGTGGCGTTTTGCAAGCCCCAAATGATCTCATTCAGGTCATTATAATACCGGAGGGAGCTCATCATCTTGACCTGCGTGAAAGCAATCCCGCTGATCCGCCTTCAGTGCTCGATGCACGCGCTAAAGAGGCGATCATCATAGCTAGATGGATCGAGCAATTTTATTTAAATATTCATTAAATTGCAATCATACATGCCTGTAATAATTATCAATCAAAATTTTAGTTAAATGTATATCTTATCAAGTGCTTAAAAAACATCTTTGGTAAATAAAATATATTTGTTATCTTTCTTGAAATAGCATTGTGAATTGTCTACTCGATTTGAGTATATGTTCAAGCCCACGTCTCTGAATAATAGAGGAAAAAAGTAGTTCAGAATTACCCAAAAAAAAACAATTTTTCGATTCACTTCATCAAGTTGAACAGTTTTATTCCAGAAATCCATCCTAGTTTTGAGACTATTGGACAAATATAGAATAGGGCGTAGCCAAACTGTCCAAATAGTTTTCAGCCGTTTGGGTACATTTTAAGCTAATTGATTATTGATTTCCCTTTTCCTTCCCCGATTACAAAAACAGTATACATATTCTTTATAATTTTTCTTTAATATATGCATATATAAAGGTACAACTGTTCACAAGAAAGGAAATCTTATAAAGCTACATAAATTATTAATAAATTTCATAACTGTTTGTTACCATAGAAGCAGCAAATTTAACATGTAAATCAACTTAAATAATATGTATGTATTTAGACAAATCTAATAAATAATTGTTTTCAATAATTGTCAAGAATTAAATAATAAACGTATGATTTAATAAAACAATTTTAAGGCAAATAGAGTTATTTAAGTTTATCAAAAAATTATCAACAACAAAAGTTTTCTCTTCATTACTGGATGGACTGTTGCCATTATTTAATGCCATTTATCGTTTACATTTTTTTCTTTTTTGCTTTTCAACTTTTCTGTTTTTTTTCTCTTCTTCAAATACGCAAATTACGTTAATCTGTTACTTGTAGAAAATTTGTTGATGTTTGTGGTTTAGCACCGGTTTAGGACACTTGCTTCGTTTTTGTTCAATGCTCACTTGGGCGCGCCCCCAAAATGGGAAATGGTTGAGTAAACGGGCTGATTTAGCTAGTTAGCAAAAGCACGAATAAAATAGTCTATGGTTTAAAAAATTTGGAAATGAGTTTAGGAATGCTTTGTGTTGAAAAACTACTACTACCAGATGTTGTTGTAGGCGTGACCAAGGTATCACACATGTGGCTTGTGAACAGTTGGCCAACTCTACTCTGCTAATAGGCCGTGGGAGAGAGCTTGGCTTATAGCAGAGATTGCCCATTGAAGTAGTAGCTAACTTTGTGCTAGTGCCAAGGCCAAAAGACACTGCAACTAAGTCAACTGATCGCACTTATAGTTTGGGAGATGAGCGAACATTTTACTTAGTTGCAGTTTCTGTTGGCGGCACCGGGCATGTTTTGGTCTATGTGGGTCATGATTTGTTTTGAGGTTTCTAAGTTTTGTTGTTCTATTTTAATACTAGCTAGCCGTTTGTGTGTGTGTGTGTTTTTTGCGCCATGACCCTGCAGAAATGTTCCACGAAATCTGGAGGGTCATGACTCAAAGGTCACACAGAGTGAGCTCCTATGTTGGGCGACGCGCCTATAAGATTAAGTTTCGTATGTGCGTATTTTGTCTTCGTTTTTTTTTTTTTGTTCATCTTAGTTTTATATACAAAATGTTTTGTTTTATAGAATTTTGCTGTGCAAATATATATGTATATATGTATAATATATCGTTTATATATGTTTTACAAAAATGTTTCGTTACTTGTCGTTAGTTTTTTGTTTCTTTTTTTTTCATATATTCATTAAGTGTCTCTTTTTGCAGCTCGTCGAGTTTGTTTACATTAATATTGATTCACATTTGTTGTATTCATCTCTTTATTACATATAGGTATGTACATGCCTCTAACTACCAAATAAACTACATTGTTTCAAATCGAGGGAAAATTACAAAAATTTACAAAGTCGTAACATTTTACATGTGTGCTTGCACAATAATTTTGTTTACAAAAAGTGTTTGTTTTGTTTTTGATTTAACTCTTCGTTATTCTTCTTTCATTCATTATTCAAAAGGCATATTCTTGATGTTGTTCAACTATGTATGTACATATATACGAGTATTTGCATATAAGTACATATGTACTTAGTTGTTGTTAGTATGTTCAGGTTGGTTTGGTAAAATTATAGATTTTGAATATTTGGTTGCGCACTAATCCAATTGTTGGATTAATTGTCGTTTATGTCGGCGGCGGTCCATTCGGATACGACAACATTGGCTCCAAGCTACGCGCAAATGTATTGGAGAACATGCACGTATAGTCCTCACCGTGGGGCACCAGTGTTGCCACACCTAAAAGCAACAACATGAGCGCTTGTATGGGCAACGAGGCACGTGCAACGCGTCCTAGGAAGCGAGCACCTCGCGCTAGAACTGTGGTATTGATGACATCTCCATCGACAGCATCGCCATTGGTGCTGGTGTTGCTGAGGAGGGTCGAATAGATTTATTAGTTAATGGCTGGAAGACAGAATTCTCTAAACAACAACAATCTACGGTGCATTAATAAATAAATATGTAATAGTATTAGCAGAGGGTGCCCTGGAGACGGACATTTGATGTGGAAATGTTCGCCTGGTGCACATATTATTGCTTGAAAGAAATGAAAACTTCACTACTGCCATGCTCATCTACAAATTAATAAAAATAAATAATTTTCAAGTAATATTTACTTTGCATTTTCTGTGTTTGGTGCGGCGGCCTGTATAGAAGAGGTTGATAATGTAGGATTATCCAAAAGCTAGAATTTTCGACATTGTGTGAGAAAGAAAATAAAAGCAAAAGAATATATAAATAAAAAATAAATACATACAAATCTTAATTTATAGAAATTAAAAACATAAATTAAAATGTAATTCAATTCAATTGGAAATTTTCACCGTCACTTCATTCACGACGCGCTAAAATTTTATTTTAATTAGCCAATTTTCACTTACTTTTGTGCGCTTATAACTTAATCAAAAATAAACATTTAATCTTTCGGAACAACTTTTGTTTGTAACTCGCACAATTTAATGGCATATAACGAATAATAACTAATAATAACTTACCTCACTCGACAACATGTGCAAAGGCACGCCCAGATTTTCGCCCTCATAGCCAAGCACAGAGCCCAGCTTGACAATATAGATGCCAGAGAGGCGGCGCAATGATTGCAATCGCAAACGTAGATCGGTCAGTCTGGAAAGTGTTCTAAAATTTTTAAAACAATTGCATACGGCTCTTGGCGGGGTAAGTTTGGATGAAGGGTTAGAATGGGCGGACGAAATAATTTTGAGTACCAAAACACAAAAAATATACGCAACACAAAACGCCAAACAAAAATTTGTGTAAGCATTTAAAATAGCAATCGAAGGTGTCTTTTTTTTTTACTAATTTTAACTACAAAACTTACAAATGTGTTGAAAGTAGAAAAATCAGAATAAAGCTACGTGAAAGCAAACAGCAATAAGTCGATGAATATTGTCTGCTATTTGTAAAGATGTACATATAGTATAGTGCCAAATAAGATTGTCTGAGACATTTTTAGTATAATTTTGCAAGGATATTTAAATGTGAAGAAAACATATATATTAACAATTTGGGCGGAAGCAAGCAATAAACTACCAATCAAAAAATTGTGGATGAGAGTTGGGAAAGAAGAAGTGAAGATAAATTAAATGGATGACGATAGTGTTCTACTACTAGTACCAATAATAAAAACAATTAGAATTAAGGAGGGGAAGGAATACTTGTACTCTCCTTAATTCGAGCGCTACAACTACTTCTAGGAAATGGTTAACGTAACGCCCATTTTAGCCCAAAACTAGCCGCATACATTCAATGTTGCTTATGCCAAGAAGGAGGAGGACGACAACGACGACGACAAAAACTAAGCCACGACCCACGAATAATTTCGTTCCGCCCTCGGCACAGGCCAGCAAAACCTTACCTCTCATATGTGTGCTGTGACTGCTCCTCAGAGCCTTCAACAGCACGCAGCAGTTGATCCGCAGCATCCTGTAGGCTCACAACTCGAGGCTCGCAGCGTTCTAGTTCGGCTCGCAAGTCCTTGAATTTGTTAAATTTACTTTCAAGAACAGCGCGATCCTCGGTTAAGTCTACTGGTTCCGATGCCTTGATGTTCGCTTCTGTTTTTTGCAGCCAATCCACCAACTCATCAATGGTCTGGTGGAACTCACTATTGCCCATGAGTGCGGTCTGTAAGAGCCCTTGCCATTTCGTGGCATTGATGCACACATTGTTCCAGCGCTCATTGTCTGCCTCGAGGCGTGAGCGCAACTGTCGTGCCTTCTCCGTGTCCAATGTATGAGTGGCCAAATGATCCCCGACCACATTCAGTGATGAAATGATCGATTTATGGCTCTCTAGATCAAGCAGGAATTCACGATGATCCTGGGTTACATCCTCCAGGAGTTCAATATTTGAGGGCGGCGATGTTTGGGATTTCTGAGTACTTTCGGCAAACTGTAGCCACTGCTCAAGACGCCACAGATCATTGTCGATCTGTTGCCAGTTGCGTTGCGTGCAGAGCGGACACGTAAGGCGGCCGACCTCGCTAATAGGGGTAAAAAAAAACAACAACAACATTAGTTATTTTATTGAAAACAATTTAAGAGCACTCTGTTAGCTTGCGATTATTTTAATGTGAGCTGATCGAAGCAGGTATTCTTAGCTTTGATCAGCAGCGCATGCGCAAGTCCCCTTTCGTTACTGTGGTCCACAATGGAGTCTAGCAGTGATAACAAGTCCAAGTGCTAGCTTTTGTCTAGTGGACTCACGTACATACATGTATGTACATATATGTATGAGTATTCAGGTAGCACACACAGCACGAAAGGGAACTTGTTAGGTAGGCTATTAGATCGTTCATCTGTTAACACTTACTGTGTACACGTGTATTTGTAGGATGCAGGTAGCAGAGATCTGCGCTCAACATCGTCATGAATGCGCATGTTGCATGTGAAAGCGTTTTGTAAATGTGTGGATAGTGTGTGTTTCAGTGTAAGATAGCGAGCGAGAAAGCGATAAAATGAACACACAATTTGTTAGCCAACACCAAAAACATATGGGATCATAAGGGGCATGATGGGGAAAATGTCTAAATAACTACGCTTATACCAAGCTTGACCATTTTTAGAAGAATTCGGATAATTCTCACATTCAAGATCTCATAGCTTCGTAGGAACGCAGAGATTTAAGCATTTTTTCCATTGCTTTTTGATCAACATAAGCATGATATAACTTACCTAGCGTTCTGATCGTGTTGCTGGCGCGCCTTCCACTGCGACTGCAGCGTATCAAAGCGCAGCGCCAGCTCTGACACGGTCTCAACCTGAGCGGCCTGCGGACTCGCTTCGCATTCGGTAACCAATAGGTTGCTTAAATGCTTGACAAGTTCCGTTGAGGACTGTGCATTGCCCAGCAATTTGGAGATCTTTTGCGGTCCCGGCTTGCGTGTCTTATCCGCAATCGTTCGTTGCAGCTCATCCAAATTGGCCTTGCATTCGCCTATTGCCGTATCCAGTTCCATAATGTAGGCATCTTTTGCCGTAATTGAAGTTTCTCGTTGCATTTGTGCTTGTCGTAGACGACGCTGTGATAGCGTGCTCACCTGGACTCCCGCATTCGCAACGGAGGTGCGTGTAGCACTCAGAACGGCTTCGGGAACAGCTGCAGCGGCACGAGCCAACCAACTCGTTTTCAGTGTAGTTAATCGCATCTGCACTGTTTGCCAGAGCGTAGTATATGTGGTGATTAGAGTGAGTAGTTGGGAGAGTTGATCCTGCTGTTTCGTACTTGACTTTGCATCTTGAGCTAGCGCATCAGCTTGTTGAACCTGCTGTTCGGCTTGCTTAAGCTTACGCTCTATGCTTTCTACACGCTTTAGTATCGCTTTGGGATCTTCACTTGTATTCGTATCTTCAGCATTGGGAATTTCTTCCAGTGTCCTTTGTATGGCCGTCAGTGTATTTGTAGCCTCCTGTTGAGCATTGTTAAACTCGCGTAACACTTTGGCATCCTTATCAATGGTATCCAATACAGCGTTGCAGCGTGGTGTCAATTGGCGCCATTTGGTCAACATCACCTTTGTGGGCATCGTTAGTTTTTGAATGTTCTCCGGGTCCACTCCAGCACTCATACTTAATTTGGCATAGGTTTGTTCCAATTGCCGTAAATTCGGCGATTGGCTTTCCAGCTCATGGAGCTTAGCTACAAGTGCTTGTTGACGTTCGCTCAACTTTTGTTTTTTGGGGTTCTTCAGTTCTCGTTCAAAAGCTGTGATGTCTGCTTCTTGTTTACCCAACCAGCTCTTGTGCTCGGTGGTCAGTTTGATAAGTTGCTGTAGCATATTCCAGATGTTGAGAATACGCTGTTTACGCTCTGCTGATTGGCTGCACACATTCTTCCAGCGTTTCTCCAGATTCTGGGCAGATGATGCCAAATTTGAAGTATTCACGTGAGTGCGCCAAGTGTCCGCATCATTGAGCAACATTTCGACAAGATTCAGAACCTCGCCCACATTGCTGCTGTGATTCTCAATAGACCGTTGGATTTTCTCATGTTCTTTGAGCTTGGCCTCTATTACGTTGGGCGTGTAGGAATCAAAGCTGAGCGGCTTGTCCAACTGGGATTCCACTTCAAACATCCAGCCACGTATTAGGGCAATGCGTTCCTCTAGGCGCAACAGCGTCATTTTCAAATCATTGATCTTATTGGTACGCTGTTTGCACAAATACTTCAGACGTTCCCAGCGATCGAGTAGAGCATCAGATTTCTCTTGCACATCGGCACGCACACTTGCCGCATTTGGCGACGCGTCCGCATACAGTGTTAGCAACTCTCGACCTGTGGATAGTAGCCACTCCCGGTCCTTATCGCGTAGCTTCAGTTCAGCATTGATTTGTTTTTCCAACTGTTTGGCTGCATCCTCGGGATTGGCGATGGCGGATATGTCAGAATCACGTTCCACACGATGTTCTAGACCCTGCAGCCACTGGGAGATGCGTTCGTAGCGTGTGTTGTACACAGAGAGAAGAGATAGTCTCTCCTCGATGGCATTAATGAGCGTGGACAGCTGATAATCGAGATCGGCATGCTGTTGCCAGAGTAGCCAAACGCTTTGGCGTATGGCCTTCATGTCGTGCGGACTAATGCACTCCTTAAGCTCCTCTTGGGCGACGGTAAGACTTTCCAAGTCGGGTGTTTGACCATTCAGTTGAATGCGTTGTGATCGCAAGGCCCCCAACTGCTCTTGTATTGCCTGTGGCTGAGTGGGCAGTTGAGCCGCAGTGCTGGCAACCAGCTGCTGAGCTCGTCCAAATTCCTGCTGCAGTTGCTCCACGCGTTTGTCATATGAGCTCGACAATTGACTCACCCTAGTGAGGAAGCCTTGCCAGGTCTCGAGTGCAGCTCGTAAATTATTAATGCGTTGTGCCACACTGGCTTGCTCCATGCGTATAGAGGTGGCTAAGGCATCATCACAGAAACGGAGCAATTCCTGCTGCTGAGCCTTGAGCTTAGCATTCATTTGTTCGCCCTGTGGTAGTTGTTGCAACAAAGCATCCAGGCGTTGTTTCAGATGGGGCACACGCTTGAGATGGATATAGCGTAATTGTAGGGCACTACGCTCCTTTTCACGATCCTTTAACCAGTCAAGCAGGTCTGTCAGATCCACACGATAGGCATTCCAGCTGGCGACGCGACGTTCCAATTCGCCATTGCGTTGCATGATACGTGAAAGCGTCTCGTTGTGCAAATTAGTCAGCGCCTTATATTGCTCCGTCATATCCGGCTCCAACTGAGTATCGGACAGGACGCTCTGTTGGGATACCAACAAATTCTGATGTATTGCACACAACTGTAATTGTTCCTTGAGACTCGTATAGTCCTCGGGTATGGCACAAGAGAGGAAGGACTGCACATGCTGCAAATATTGACGCCACAGACGCAATGCTTCAGCGCTATTTTGGGTGCGAACCAAGCGTGTGGAAAGGCGGTGGTATTCCTGGAAAGTATCCTGGAATATGCGTTGCCACAACTCCAGGACCTCAATGATGCTATCATCGCTTTGGGGAGGTGCAGACAAAGTGTCATTTTCATACTGACGTTCTCGCAGCTGCTTGAGTTGCTCCTCAGTGCGGGCAAGAGTCTGCAAATGAGCACGCAAGGCATTAAGCTGCTCCTCGCTTTCCTTGGGCGTTTGTGGGACCTCGTGCGATATGTCCTAGAATTAGAGATGAAATATTAGATACTTATATTGGCCACTCTACTCTATGGGTAAGTACGTAGCAGGTTGCTGCTCGCTACGCTTTGTGCATGGCTAATTAGCTGACCCTAATATACAAGCGACCAGCTCGTGTTACCGCTGGCCAATGCATGGCTTCGCGTGGCAATCCCAACAGCACAATAATAATGACAATAATAACACCGAAGCGCTGCAACTCTTTCCGCAAACTGGCAATGACCTCATGCAAACAAAACACGCGCGCTGTCTAACTGTCTGTCTGGCCAAATGTGGAGCGGCTGCAACGTGTTTGCATGTGCATTTGAAAAATGTGCACCGTGGTGCACAGACTCTCCAAAAGGAGTGGAAAACCAGTATCTGTTTATATGAAATAATTTCGAATTTCGAACAACATAGGTATATATGGAAGTAGCTCTTTCAGTAATTACTCGATATTATATCGGCAATCTGAAAGACATTGCGAACAATTCCACATTATAGTTGAACAGTCCACCCTGTTGGCCTGCTTCCGATTACGGACATCATATGTCTTAGGTTTTGCATTCATTTCTTTTACGTTATTTTAAGCTTGAAGGTGAGGCTAAGCTAAAGCTAAAATAAAGTTTCCGAGTGTACAAGTAGGTGCCTGTTGCTGTTCATTAAATATTTAATAAATGGAATAGCCTAAACACCAACTGGTCGATAAAGCGCCGTTGATGTTGCCACTGTCGAAGTCATGTGACTAATACTACGAGTAGTTCTTACCACATACTCGTATGTGAAATACAATTTCATTAGCCGACCGGACAGTTTCGCGCCTGTCATCATAAATCAATAATATACATAGGTATGTCTAAGTTCCAAAAAAACGCCGACCACGGTGATTGCCAGCACTGGCGTGTGAAATAGAAGAGTTTTTCAACTTTTAACCCACTTAAAATAGCATGTCCTTCGTATTGGATTAACTACAATAACGACAACAACCACAACACAAGGAACAGCAATAGCTACTTCCGTTGCTGCTATTATGTTGTTGTGGTGGTCGCCGTCACAGGTCGGTCGCTTGCCTAGGTAGCTAGGGATTTTCCACATACGAGTATGTATGGAAATTATCATCATTTTAATCGATAATCGGTTTCGGTTTCTGTAGGTGTTCTATATAATAGTAGCTTCATCCTGCCCTCTCCACTCACCTGCTGCACATTTTTGAAGTACACTTTGGCCTGTGTCATTTCCTTGTCGAGGGCCTTGCGCTCCTTATCCTGTGTTTCGGCCACATTGGCCAGCGTAGTAATTGCATCCTTGCATTCGGACAAACGCTGACCCAAGGCATCGAGCTCACCTTGCATAAGAGCCGAGGCATCCAGCCCCACATCCGCTGCAATTTTCGAGACAATGTCGCGTAACTCCAGCAGACGTTCGTTTTGTGTATTCAGATTCTCTTGGCAGACCTGCGGGTAATAATATGTAAATGATTATTATTTGCTTTAAATTGGATTAGTAGTTGAAAGGAATAGAGTAACCCACCGCCTTATGCGATCTCTAGTATTCTTTTCATTTTTTTTTAGAGATTTTCTTTAAATCTCGCACGCAAAATATCATTGCTGTATATATTTAGAGCTAAAGCCGGCCGACTGACTCTTTCCTCTTCCATTGACGAGTACTTATCAGTGTTTCGTTGTCTTGGCTACACTCACTCATCTCTACTATGTATGTACATACATAATTAACACCACAGCAGTTTTTGTTTTTCTGTATGGTACTCGTACTTTCGTTTTCAATTTAGAAAACAGGTCACCATGCGTCGCGCCTTGCCGCCTATCGCGCAGTGTCTCGTTATTTGTCGAATGGATTGTGTTCTATTTAAATGACTGCACTGGGCACCAAATCTAATTTCTAATTTCAATTACAGCCCTAGGCATGTGCCCTTTACAATTGCAACTGTTTATGTGTGTTCCCGGCCTATGATATCATCATCTACTTATGTAGCATTTAATAGAAACTTTATCTGCTTTGCAGCTTAGCTGCTGCTGTGACATTGAAGTCCACATAAATATTTCCACAGATACACAAGCAGCAGTAGTGTTTGTCTAACGCTTTAGGCATTTCGGCATACCATTTTTCATAATGTTTTGCTAACATTATTGTCATTCTCATTCTCCTCCATGTGGAGGAGATAATATAGCTTCGGGTTGATAAACTTATACTTGTATTTATGTGTGAAACACAACAGTTGACTGTTTGCTCGGCCATTGGACTGCCTAAATATATGTATGCATAATTGCCGAAGCCAAGCGCTGCTCTTAAAGATGGAAAACGCGTTAATGATCTATGTTGCCATAAAAAACGCACCGAAATACTACATACAACTATATGCGTTAATTTATTCGGCAAATACCTGTATGGTAACATGCTAAATACTAGTAAGTATAATACGCATCGGCGTAGTCTTTTAGTGCGCTTGTTTGTCTATTTATTTGTTTTGGGCTGAAGCACCCAACAACTGTGCCACAGCATAACAATTTATGACAGCAAACACCAAACTCTAAAAATAAAAGTTACCTCACACAATTAAGGTTCTTGGGTTTTTGGGGCCCAACAATTATTACAACCGATTACAAGCGACGCACCCAATGTTGATAGGGTAGGCGGCACGTATAAAAAAATCAATGTAATTACTAGTTTCCCACCTGGCCAGCAATTAATGCTCAATGATTTTTAACACCAATACCGAATAGGCAACTTTAACTTTTGATTTGGGCTTTGAAAACCCCCCTCCCACACACAAATGAAAAGTGTAACATAACTCACCTTGGCATGTTGTCTGGCATCCAAGGGCTGCTCCAAGGACTTGACGCTATCCATTTGCTGTTCAATGGACTTCTTGACCGCTGCCGAAGCGTTACGATACTTATCCCACAGCTCCACAGCTCGCTGATACCGTGTACACAAATGTTGGAGGGTCTCAGAGGTATCATGCCAGGATACTACAGCGTCTTGCACTGCCGATTCGATTTGTTCAACGATTTGCACATCGCAGGTCTCAATCAGCGGCTTTGCGGCACCCTTTAGCTCATCGAGTAACGCTTCGCGATTATGTAGATCGCCGGCAAGACCCTGCATACGAGAAGAGAACAATGTAACGATAAATAAATAATCTAGTGAACGTTCCAATTGAAAATGAAAATATGAACAAAAAATTTTTACCGCAGGCACTTCTTTCAACGATACACACACCGTTCGAAACTAACGTAAACTGTTTGAGGTTGTCGCGCTTTTCCGAAACCGAACCCGAAACAAAGCAGCACACAAAGAGCTTTCGCTTGGCGGCTAAAGTTTTTGAGCTTTAGCTGTGCTACGAGTATGTTATGTTATTTTAAATTTGAATTTTATATAGACAATGGAATACGCGACAATTGGGCTGCCACTATTAAGCACACAACTGTTTTGTTCGAATAATTTACACTGGTTCTCTGAAAGCACGTGCAGCATATAAAGCGATGCATGTAAACTAGGAAGTGAGCTCAGAAAACTCATGCTCTTTATAGAAATGTTCTGAAATACGCGCGGCACGACTCTCTTCGCTCATTTTCATTCACTGATAAGAAGTCAGACGATAAGCCCGCGAAAAAACAATGCCGTCAGGTATACAACAAATCTATCCCGTCATAAATCAAAACGAGGAAAAACAAAAATACTCTTGATAGTCTCGGTAGTAGGGTAGGTAGGTGGTTGCCTTGTTTTGTTTACGAAATATAATATCCTAAGAAGAATGTGGTATTTTAAGATAACCTTTATACCGCATCGAAAGTTTCAAAATGTTAAATTATATTTCTATTTTGACTTACCTCTAGCCTTTCGGTGGCCTTTCTAAGACGTTCATAGTCGACCTGTCCATGCACGCGTATCAGTTCCATCATGAAGTCCGTCTCTTGTACTGAGCCATGTACCAGTTCTAGTTGTCGTTCATAGCGCAGCCAAAGTGCCAAACGATTGCGAAGTATAGCCATAATGTTGGTGCATTTGCTCTCGAGGAAAGCATGATCGTCTTGTAGCTGTGAAATGTCGCGCTCCAGCTTGACAGGCGACACGGACATCTTGAGACGCATAGGCAGTGTATGAAGCATTTGACGTATACGCATTATTTCTTGCCAGCTGGAAACGAGCTCTTCTCCTGCACCCTGACAATCGACGACTGCTTTTTCAAGAACATCTGCGCCTTGGCGCTCCGCAGTCTCACACTCATCCAGTATGACGGATATTTTTGCCTGATGTTTGCGTTGATTGCTTATTCCCTCCTGGATCGCCTGTAGTTGATCACGCAGCACAGAGGCACCCTCAAGTTCCTCGGCGATTTGGGTGCTGATCTTGTGGGACAAGGCAAACAATTGGCCGACCTTTTCGGGTTCAATAGCCGGTTCCTGTAGGCCAATACGACCCAATTCATTGCCAATGAAACCCACTCGAGTGCGCAGCACTTGGATTCGTTCTATATATAGACAAAGTTCTTCCTCATTCTTGATTACACCCTTCATGCTGGTCATGGTCAAGTAAATTTCCTGTAACTCACGTTCGACCAACTTCAGTTTCTCATCAGCGGGCATATCTTCGGAGGAGAGGCATTTGACGATATTATTTTGAATTTGTTCAATTGATTGGGCAACGGCTTGCCAGCGATCCTCGAGCTGTGCATGGAACTGTCTCTGAAGCATTTCGTCAGCCAATGGTATGACCTGTAGGGATTTCTCGAACGTATGTCCAGCTTCGTTGCGTATGTTGTTATGCAACTCGAAGCGTGCCTTGATCTCCCAGAATTGACGCATATGCTCAATTGGTTCCTGAGTGGGCTCTGAAGGTATTTGGATTTTACGTAGCTCTTGCTCAGCTTCCCGTACAAATGCTTCCATTTTATCGGTCTGCTGCTCATACTGTACCCAGATATCTTTGAATACGAGCAGACGATGCAAATAGAGTCCAACTTCCTCACGCAGCTTGAGCAGCACAATGAGTGCCTCATTAGTTTCCTCTACCAGATTTGGAGCCTGGACCAACTGCTGCAATTTGTTCGCAATGTTGGAAAGCTGGGTCATCTTTACATAATGATGGGAGATATCATTGCTTAGCGACTGATATAGCGTGGTGTACTGATCGAAATCGGCGGATGTCACAGCTGATAGATCAGGTACACGTTGTTGGGCCACTTGCAACCATTGCAATTCGTCGCGCATTCCCTTTTCAAGCACCGTCCAGCGTGAAGCGGCCTGCACCAGTTTGGATGAGCGCTCCGACGCCTTATCCAGCAATTGTGTGGCACGATTGTAAAGTTCTTTGTGCAGTTCGGAGTGCTTTTCGCGAGTCTCACTATCAATATTTTCCTCCAGAGACTCGAGCATGGCCCGGCAATGGCTCAGATTGACAAAGAACTTGCGCTGCTTCTGTACTTCGTTATTTAGTTGCTCAAGCGTGCTCGAGACTATTGGACTTTCGACCAACTTGTCAGCTAGGACTGTGATGTTGGTAAACTCTTTGAGTGTCTGTTCGTATTCCTCGGCCAGGGAGAGCAACTGCAGCAGACGTTCACGTTCGGTCGCAATGTTGTTTTCAATATTTTTGCTGGCCTCATAGGCATTGTATATGTCCTGTGGCATTTTCTTGCCAGGGAAGTCGCGCTGAAAAGCACGCGCATTTGCCATAAGCTGTGAAATCTGCTGTTGCGAATCGGCATGTTTCTGCTCCAAATCATCTAGATAGGCCAGTTTAGCAGATAGTGGATAGTCCTGAGTGGTGACAAGCTCGTAGCGCTGATGTAATTGTTCCAGCACTGTGGTAACACTTTGCAACAATATTACAAATTTGTTCCATTTTTCCAGATCGTTGGCATCCTGAGACTGGTTAGTCTGAGTGACCTTCTCTACTGCCTCTACATGTTCCTTTAGCGTGTCAACACACTGTAAAACTTCCGGTGCTGGTGGCCTTTCGGCGTGGCTCAGTTGATTTTCCAGGACATTCACATTTTGTTTTATTGTATGCAGTTCATCGTTCAGCTGATTGTAGTTGTCGAGTTTCTGCTCAGAAGGACCTTCATTGGAGTTTTGACGTATGAGGTATACACGATACTCAATTGTTTCCAGCCAGGTCGACACCTTTTCTACGACTGTGATGACTGTGGTTTGTATGACAGTCTGATCACCAGAGCGTAGTGCTGCATCCAAGTTTTGCAGACCTTCATTGACGTCCTGCAACCGCTGTTCGGTGGGTAACTCTTTAATCTGGTTAGACAAGGTTGCCAAGTGAAGGACATTGCTAAGCGGTGTTTGCTGTTGTGGTACCGATTGCTTAATGTGCTTAATGCGATCACCAATAGCATCCGTAGTTTCAGTCCAGCTGGTCGCCTTTGGTTTAACCGTTCCAACATGTTGGCCAGGATAGTTCATCAAGCTTTCGGACATGATTAATGCTTGTGATAATTCCAGTGGCGTTTTCTCAACAGTTGTTGTTGCGGTTAACCAAATGTTTTCCTCATTGATGTTATCCGGACCAGGCGTAATAGGTACAACCAACTCCTCAGTGGGCGAAGATACCTCTTCGATTGTTACTGATGATGTTGGACCCGTGCGTGGCTTAGAGCCACTACCTTGTTGTGAGGCGATGCTCACCTTATTTTGCTCAATTATATGCACTGGCAGATCAGGGTATTCATCGTAGACGGTCGTCTTGGTGATGTGTAGCTGCACACGTTGCGGCTTTTCTTGTAAATCTTCCTCGATTTTAACGGGCTCTACCGCAATAACTGTTTCATCGACAGGAGAAACATGTGGCACTTCTTCAATTTGTTGGTTTGTAGACACAACTATACCGGATTCTGTGAGGAGCTCGGGAGCAATCTCAACTGTCACATTGATGTGGGGTTCTTCCAGTGCCTCAGCCACAAGTTCAGGTCTAGTCTCGGGTTGGCTTTCACGTTTGTGCTTCTTCTTGTCTTTTTTAGATTTTTTCTTGTCCTGCTTAGGAAGCTCCATAGTTTGCGTGTATTCGTACAATGTTGGTTCGATTTCTGAAGTGTCCGAGTCTGGAGGTATGGCCACAGTAGTCCTTACTTCAAGTTCGTACGGTTCTGAAACAGAGGTTGTGGTGATTGAGGTATCATCCAGAGATGTTGGCTGCTCTTCACGGGGTGTTGTTTGCGCCATGCCATCGATAACTTGCACCAATTCGCTAGTTGTAGTAGTTTCATCGCTAACCTCTGGTTTCGCGACTGAAACGAGTTCTACAGGCTCTGGTGTTGAAGTTTGCATGTGCGTATCTGTGGTGGTTCTAATATCTGTGCCGGTCGACTGCTCGGATGTGGGGACTGGCAAATCGGTGGTCATTTCCTTGACCAAATCTGTCACAAGCAGTTGCACTACATCGCAGCTTCCTGGCTCTGGCTCACGTGGTGATTCTTTGGGCGTGGTCTGCAGCTCTTTTTCGAAGGTTGTCGTTACAACGGTCTGACTGGAGATCTCGACAGTTTCCGCAGGTTGTCCACTGACGTCAGTTTGCATTTCAGTGGTGGTTACCTCGACAGGCTCTGCTTCTTCAATTGGCTTCTCGTCGGTACGTGGAGTAGTTTGTGCCTCAGTATCTGTAATCTCAATAACCAAAGTCTGTGATTCATTTTCCTGATTGTCGGGTTTGATGTCTAGGCTGGTTTGAACGGATGACTCGTCAAGCTTGGGTCGCCTTTCTGGTGACGTTTGTACAGATTTAATGTCAGTTTCAGCTTCTAAAGGCGCTGCTGGCGAAGGCGCACGTGGAGTTGTCTGTTGTTCTTCATCTTCAATTATGGCCAGTTCAACAACTTCGGTTGGTATAACCAATTCCATAATAGGCGTGCGTGGTGTCTCCGAAGGTGACGAAAGCACGGCGTCCTCTACCACTTTGACAGTTGTATCTATATCCATACTTGACAAATCACTCTCTGGGCTTATTTCCACAACAGACTCGTGGCGTACTTTACCCTCAGATTCAATACTGGCAGTATCATCGTGCCGCGAATTATCCGTTGACGCCGGTATATGCGAATCCTCATCTTCTGTCACCTTTTCTTTTTGCTTCTTCTTCTTGCGGCGCCTTTTCTTTGAATCAGTTGAATCGTCATCGTCAGCTACGGTCTTGTCTTCTGCCTCGTAGCCCGTTTCTTTAGCAGATTCCGCTTCGATTTCAGACAAAACTTCTACTACTTCTGGCTTAACTTTTTCGTCTTTATCTGAATCCTTTCTTTTCTTCTTCTTTCGACTTCGTTTGGTACTGATATCACCATCTCGTCCTATAGCAGGGGCGGTAGCGGTCTGAACAATGGTCATGCTCACCTTGGTAGGCTGCACAACGGACTCTTCACCGACATCGCTTTTGGGCGTATTCATGACAACCTTCAGCACACCAGCACCTTCGTTCTCAATTGATGGTGCGGTGATTTGGAAGGATTTGCGGGGAGCTTCAAAAGCAGTAGCCTCTCCAGAGATAAACATTTGAGTTGCAACACGTAAATCAATTTGGGGAGGTTGCTCTTCGACGCTACTTACAACCACTGACGGTGTTTGAGGTTCTGTAATATCAGGCTTTTGTTCTGTTTCCAAGAAGGCTTCCAATTCAGTTTTTGATGTGAAATTGGACTGCTCTGGTTTTTGTTCTTTTTCAAACGCAGGCTTTTCGCTAGACTTTTGTGCTTCGGGTAGCTCTGATGCAGCAGGGATGATAGTCGTTGATCTGGTAATTGTTATGGAACCAATAGCTGGAGACTCTTCCATATGTTCTTCCTTTACGACCTCTTCACGTGTTACATCTGAAATTGGTTGCGGCTCTGACACGACAGGTTGTTCGATTTTGGTCTGTGGCTGTGCGTCTGCAACTGCAGGCACATCTTTGACTGAAGGTACAATAGGTAGCTCAGTTGCGGTCGTAATGCTTGTAGTCTTCTTGGTTATTGTTATGGTACCCGTAGCTGGAGTTAAATGATCACTTTCTTCAACTTGTGGGGCAGTGGCTTCTACAGGTGCATCATCTGAAGCAATTTGTGATTCTGCAGGCTTATGCTTGGCTTGTAAGAGTGTTTCCTCTTCAGTCTTTGGCTCATCTGGTACAACTAAAGCTGCAGGTGCATCGCTGACTAAAGGTTCAGCGATTGGCTCTATTGCGGGGGTAACGATTGATGCTTTAGTCACATAATCAGGCTCTTGTTGTTTTAGGGTTTCGGCAGATGGGGAATGCAGCTCGAATTCGTATGATTCGAGAGATACCGAGTTACCAGTTTCCGGGCTTGTCGGCCAAATTTGTTCTACTGGCATGGATATCTCTGTTATAACTGCAGCAGGAGGTGCAAGTTCATCTTCATGATGAGAGAAATCAATGTTTGTTGGCTTCAAATTGTGTTCCAAGGGCCAAATTTCAGTGATATCCTTTACGGACTGGCTGCGACTCTGCTATGGTTGTTGTAGTTGTGGTGGTTACAATTTTTTGAGACGTTGTAGTGGGTATTTGCCCAGTTAATTCCTTTTCTGCAACATTAACGGGACTGGTAGTAGCAATGTCTACTATTTCTTCAACGTCTACTTGAGGTGCTGGCAATTCAACAAATTCTACTGGTGCTTCTTTTGCAATAGTTGTTCTTGTTGTTGTAGTTGTTTCTGTTGTTGTTATTGCAGTTGTTGGTTGTGTCTGTTGTTGTTTTTGTGTGTTTGGGGTGATGGTGGTAGACTCAATAGCAAATACCTGTTGCGGCGGTTCAACTGTCGGTTGTGACAGATCCGTGGCAACTTCTTCGATGACTACGCCCGGTTGCGCCATCATTCGTTGGAACTCTTCCTCGCTCACCACCTTGCCATTTACCGTCCGCACAATATTGACATTGATATGTGGCGCTGTTTCTTCTTCTGTTACCTCAATTTCTTCTGGCTCTTCGATGACTTCTTCGGTGATATGTTCCTTGCCGTCGATAATTACCACACGTTTTATGATTTTGCGGGTCTTACGTATGACCTTGCGCGTCACCTGCTGCACTACAGCACGTATGCTGCTCTGTGATTGAACAGTGTCAACGGTTGTGGGTAAATTTTCAATGTTCAGGTATGTCACATCGCCCTCATGTAAAGGCACACCGCGAACCTGAACGTCTGGGCTGTGGAGCTCTTCATACTGTTCAACTACAGGCTCTGTTTCAAACTCTTGCACGATTACGGTTTCAGGATGGGAACCATCCACAACTGTGCCACGAGTTTGGTGCGTGACCACGGTACAATAGCCGCCCTCTTTGGGATCACCGCTAGTATCTCTGGTCTCCGTATTTTCTAAATTTACTTGACCCGTCGATTGCACTTGTATATTGCCATCAGAATCGCTTATTGTCTCAATTGAACTGATCTGTTGCTGCTGCACAATTTGTTGGCGCGTACGTGTCACCTTTTTCAGAACGATATGCTTGGTGCCATCTGGTCCGACAACCACCTCAGTGGTTGTCTCATCAGGTTCGACAAATGTAGTTTCAAACGATTGTGGCACGTTCTTTATTATCAACTCGGTGGTACGATCTACGTCGCCTTGGGGCTTTTGATGATATCTTGCTTCAATTTCCACATCTTCTGGCAGTTCGGGAACCTCTTTGTTGAGCGTCGTATCAATCTGTATTGTTTCCTGACCATGTTGTACTGTTTGCGTAACTACAATGTTTTCGGTTGGCGCGCGTTCTTTCTGAGTTTGCATTGCAATCTCGGCTGTTTCTATTACGGGTGGCGAAGCTTCTGCGAAGCTTGTTTGTGCTTCGGTATTAGATGTTTCAATGCGCGGCTGCTGCAGACTAATCGATGTTTGCGTCTCAACAAAAATGCCTGTCGGTTTGATTTCCTCTTCGGGCATAGACGTAGAGTCTATGGTATTTTCGTTAGACTCAATTGATTCGCGGGATATAGCTGCTGCAATTGGTGGCTGTATTTGAGAATCCGCCAATACACGCTTCCGTTGTTCTTCGTCGGCCTTTGCTTTGCGCAGATCTACAATACGCTTTTCTATGGTGAAAATGCGTGTTGTCGCTACGGTTATCTGTTCTCGCAGTATGGTTATGATACTCTGCAACTGATCCATCAAAGTGTCGGCCAAAGGTGCGACATCTGGCTGGGCTTGAAGCTGTCGCGTTTGCTCGACTAAATCATCCATCGACTGCTGTCGATCCTTGAGCGTTCGCAATAGCTGCTGACTACGTTCAACTTGAGATTTGAGCACCTGCTCATCTGTGGTACTATCGGCAGTCGGCTCGAATGATGCCAGCTCTGCAGAGACCTCGTTGATCCAACGTTCAAGTTCCAGCAAATGGTTTTGATACTCATCGATCTCTTGCTGATGCTTCTTTTGGCTATGAATAGCATTCTGAAATTGTTATGAAAGCTATTAAGTAACAGATAATTTGATGATTGGATAATTTTCATTGACTTACAGCAATCATTGTGATGCCTTGCTGTGTTCGCCTTAGTAGCAAGTCAATGCGGTCTGTTGTTTCGTTAAGGGAGCGTTCCGTTGCCGGGTCCGTAGGCAGTATTTTGCTTTGAGCTTTCAATTTCTTGGCTTCCTTTTCATGTACTTCCAGATTGCTTTCGATTAGCTAAGAGTTGATTAAAATTTATAGTAATCGTAAAAGCTAGCAACAAATAATCTGTTTAATTTTTATCCGCCCTACTAAGACATAAATATGTTCGGCTACTACATATGGAAATTACACATAGTCGGGGAACACTACACTATAGATATATTCTGATAAATAGTTTATCTGCTTATGTATTTTATACGATTTTGTATGGAGTGATGCGAATGTGTTATTGGAATTGTGAGACACACGCTTGCATCCATTAATCGTTTGTTGAGTTGTTTTTTCTGTTAAGTGTTTATAACTACAAGAAAACGTATATACAGTGTGAGTAGCTAAAAGTATTAAGTATTTTTTTGCAGTGTTTGTAACGTGCTTAGTCAAGAATCCAAACATTGTGTTAAAATATACAAACAATAGCATTACCTTTAATCCTTGCAGCATACCCTCCAGGCTGTTTTGATTCAAATTTCCAATACCTTCCTCGACGGTTGATAGCGATTGTAGTAGCTCGTCGAGCTCTTGCGAAATTAGATCCTATAATTTAAATTGCGTCGCATGTGTGCGATGTTGTTGGAAAACGTTGTAAAAATTTGTGTTAGAATTAAGAAATTTTTGCATATTAATGTTTAAATAATTGTTGCTGGCTTGAGTAAACACACAACGTATATACATACATAGAGCAAATTATATATTTATATGTATATAAACTTGAAATGGATGCAATGTATAACTATACAGATGGAAAACGGCATAGTATTATGTATGGTAATACATAACATTCCATAGCTTAAATGTAACTGCATATAACGTAACACATGCGCAAATAGCATTTAAGACTTATATTTAATGAAAGGCACATTCAGAAGTGGGCGGATAGACAAAGCACCAAATGCATCTGACTTTCCTACGAAATATGATTATTTGCCACTATTTGATCAACAATTAAGGGAGTTTGAAAAGCGTATATATTTTAATGCAGAAATTGGGGTTATATTTTCTATATGTACATCTCATTCATATTCTTTTCAGAATATTAGTCGTTCATTTACATTTCTTAAATGACCGTTTTCTGAATCTATTCAAAATTGTTCACCTTCCAATTACTCAGGATTTCTTTTCCCGTGTCGTAAAACGTATGCGCACATTACAGATCAAACACTCCACTTCAACTAAAAAATCAAGTCTACCGGACGAAAGGCACACAGCTATTTTTGAATGAGTAAATCGGGTAACAGAAATGCAGCTGCAGAAATGCCGTGCACCTCTATGCGCACACTAGACAGGAATTTATTTTTAGCAAACTAAATACTGGGAACATGCTTTTATTTGCAACAAACTCGTAGTATGTACGAGTATAGTTTTTACACGGGCTATGCTTTACATCTGAGTAGTTGAGTAGTTGGGAGCAGCTGGGGCAGCGGGCGACAAAAACAAGACAATGAACTCAAATATGATATGTATATCAAATAAGATGGTACACAATTTAGCAATCGGGCCATTCTGACTTGACATAGCGGTGTACAGTTGACAAACTTTTTCACAGCACTGTGAGCGTATGTGTGTATGTGTGTCTGTCTATTTGTGCAAATACGTGTGTGCATATTCTAAGTGTTTTTAAGAATGCTTTCAGTGCTGCTCCTTTGTATTCCTTAGCGAAATGAAAATGTAGAAAAAAATGATGCGAACGAATCTATAAACGAATAAATAATGTAATATTATTAAAACGTGCAAGTTGGTTAATATAGTTTTTATTAAACGGCTGAGTATATTTTACTACTTCTAGTAGCTACGGGCTTTTACAAAGATTAATATCAATTAGTAAGGAAAACTTATTTTATATTTTTAAGGCAGCATAATTACTTAAGGATGCATTCAAGAATAGTGTTATGGTATAATTATTAATTATAGACGAAGGTATATAAGATTTTAACAACACATACAATAATAAAAAATCAAATAAAAACAAAACAAAAAGTGTTCAAATAAAAATATTACATTACAGCCTGTATAGTATGTTAGTATTGTGGTAGTTGTGTTTATGCAGTCGGAGGCGCCACAGGCATATGCCAGTCACATCCACATCCACAGCCAATGCCGATGGGCGGCCTTACTGCTGGCCATTACCATCGGGCGCTGGCGGTGGATGCAAGGATGATGAGCATGTTGTCTGGACGCCACAGCAACAACAAGAGCATTTGCCGTATAAAAGCCATGAACAAAAACCAAAACCACACAGAAAAGCTGCAAATATTAGAATAAGGAATAAACGATGGCTCAATGTGATGTTCACCTTCTGGCGTTGCTTGGGATCGTTGGTTGTTGTTGTGGTCATTGTTGTCGTTGTAGTTGTTGGAACTTCGGACAGATCGCTGTCGGATGTGGTTGTTGTAGTAACCGTAGTTGTTGTAGTTGTAATACGTTTGACCACATTAGCATTTTCATGCTCAACAACTTCGGCCGGCTGTCGTAGCTGCTCATTACCAGCGATGGTTGTTGTTGTTATAGTATCAGCAGCTACTGTTGCTGCTGTTGGTAATGGAGTTGCTGGCACGGAGTCGACAGCAAAAGCTACAGCTGGTGATGTCTTCTGGTCTACTACAGGTTGCGCTGGGGCTGTTGTCGTTGTTGTTGACTTTGTTGGTGTCGATATCTTATCGATTACGGCTGAAGCAACTGGTAGCAGTGCAGCTGTTGCTGCCAATGTTGTCGTTTGTGCTGCTGTTGCTGCCGCATTAGCAGCAGCAGACAGTGTGTGAGTTGTGGCGCTCGCCAATTGGATTAGTGCATTTGCAACATTAGTTGGGGTTGAAATAGCAGGGACTGATTCAGGGTTTGATTCAGGTATAGGAACGACTGGTTCTGCCAGTTTACTAGGTTCCACTTGAATGGTTTTAGTTTCGGTTAGTACTGCGATTGAGTCTGGTTGTTCTACTGTTATGGGTTTGCCCTGAGGTTCGGCTTCTAATGCCAAATATGTACTCTGATCCCGCCAATGACCAACACCACCTGGCAGATCGGTTGACATATATTCCGATGCGCAACTACGATTTTGACCATTTTGGCCTGCATCAGTTTCGGGAGTTGGTGTTACATTACCACTACTACCACTACCAGGATCGCGGTCGTTCTTGTCGTCTGGCTTACGTATTTCAGGCACAGTCAGGTCATCCCCATGGCCATTATCATCGTCATCATCGTCGTCGTCATCTTCGTCATTGTCGTCAATTTTTTCGTTAACCTCATCCAATTTCTTGTCTTTGTCAATTTCCGCATCAGTGCTCGCAATAATATCACGTTTCGAACTATCAATATAATCTTTGGCTAAATCTATATCTGTACCAGCAGCTTGTTGCCAGTCATCCAGGGATAGATTTAGACGTAACTGATCAATTTGGGGAACCGTAACTACTGCTTGCACTGGTTCGGTAGGAATGCATGATTCTGATGAGGTTGGTTCAGTCTTTTCTACAACATTATCAGTTGTCAACTTGGTTGATTCTGTAAATGTAGTCGTTGTCACTACAGTTTCTGTAATGATGTCAGTCTTCTCTTTGTCGTCTTGTATTTCCTGAGCTTTAACGGGCAATGTTTCAGCCACTTCCGTTTTTGTGGTCAAAATTACGGTAGGTTTGGAGTACAACGAGTAAAGATCATTAGCCATTTTGTTGTAATGATTTATAACTGTAGAGAAATCATCCTGACTAAGGTGCCAGAGATGCTCACCCGGTTGTGATAGAGATAAAGTAGTTTGTTCTGTAGGTTCTATATTGGGATTTTCAAGTTGTACTAAATCTTCGACCGGCGATACTGAAATAAGCGGTTTCTCTGTTTCTACTTTGGGTTCGTTAGACTCTTCTGTTTTCAATAAATGCAACTGACTTACAGTATCAACTGGAATGGGACGCAATAAGGTTTGACTGTCAAGATATAAATTATAGGCAAGTAACTCTGAGTTGAGTTCGGGAACTGATTCGGGTTCAATTATCACATAATCATTGATGAATGTATCATCATCTATGGGACTTTCAACAACCTTGCTATCATTATCTTTTGAAACACCTGGATTTTCAATTAGATTCGTTTTTTCTGGAGTAATTGGAATGCTCGCACCTCGCAATGTTTGATAAAGTGTTTCCATCGATTCATATTTGGGATGTACGGCATTCGCATCAAGTTGAAGGTTCCATATAAGATTCTCTGATTTTCTGGTACCCGGAGTTTCTGTTAAATCCGTAATTTCTGGTTCAGGTGCAATCTTGACTGGTTGTACAGTCACAGTATCTTGTTTAACTGATTCGAGATCCGGCTCTTCCTTTGTATGCTCGGCTATAGGTGTTCCTTCCGCGTCTATTTGTCGTTCAATGCTGTCAGCAGCAAATGGAGCGTCTTTGTGTGTAGTCACTGTTGTTGTGACATAGGTGGTTGTTGTGGTCGTGATTGTGCTTTGTGTTTCAAGATTTGATTGTGGTTTTGGATCTTGGAAGTCTGTTGTTTGGCTCAACACTACTGTTGACCATGCAGGCAAAGTAGAATCTTCCTTCCTTGTTATTGGATCTGGGAATACGGTTGTTTCTGTTTGTACGATTGCTGACCAAGTTGTTGGCTGATCAGTTGGGGACTGCACTGGAACTTCCTTTGTGATATCAACTGTAGGTATTTCAATCACAATTGGTTTTTCTATTGATGGTTCAGCTTTTGATTCGGTATGAATAGTCGTCTCTGAGATTTCTTCTTTAGGAGATGTAGTTTTTTGACTTGGTAACGTAGCGGACCAGTACGAAGTTTCGCATATAAACGAATCAGAATCTGATGGTTGACCTAACGGTTCCTTGCTCAAAGAGGCTTCGTCTGGATGTATAACTTCGGAAGATTTATTTTCAGTAATTTCTGATACGATTGTTGTCTCTGGTTCAACTGGTAAAGAAGCCTGGGCCAATATTGGTGCCTCATTTAGAACTGACTCAGTGGTTGGTACAGGTTCCCTTGCATTAAACGATTTCTCTGATTTTATAAAATCACTACTGAAGTCAGAATCTGATGGTTTAACTAACGGTTCCTTGTTTAAAGAGGCCTCGTCTGGTTGTATAACTTCGGTCGACTCGTTTACAAAACTATGGAATTTATTTTCAGTTACTTCTGATACAATTGTCTTCTCTGGCTCATCTGGGAGAGAAGCCTGGGTCAATATGGGTTCCTCATTTTGAGTTGGCTCAATGGTTGGTGCCGGCTTCCAGTCATTGTACGATTTCTCAGATTTTATAAATTCACTACTGAAGTCATTTGCCGGTTTTTTAACAGGTTTCTGTTTTTGTTTTTTACTCTTTTCTTTTGGTGTTTCCAGCTGTAGTTGTATGTTAACCTTTTTATCTTTTGGAACTTTAGTTTCCTCTTCTTTAGTCACAATTTGTTTCGGTTCGATTTGAAGCGCCCGTATTTGCTGTAGGGGTTCTGGTACATTGTGGGCGGTAATCGCAGCCCAGGACATCCCTGAAGTTACCGGTGTGGGTGCTGGAGTGGGTGCTGGTATGGGTTCG